ATAAAATAGCCATAAAATAGACCAACGTTATGGCAAGGCTATGTTATGTAATAGTTTTCATATAAATTAGTACTAAGTACTGTCAAAATCTTAAGTGGTTTCTGGGAGGCAAGATCGATGATTTAGATAGGAAACCTAACCTAGAACTAACAAATGTAAAATAGCAATGTTATCATAAATGCATTTTTATGGTGTGCCTCAATAACATATGAGTGAAGTTGCATTTTTTGTGTAAAACGCCTTATTGCACAGCAGATACATGGCATTTTGACAGTATTTAGTAGCATTTTGTATGAAAACTAAAATGTAACATAGCCTTGCTAATCACAATGGTCTACTTTGCGGCACAATCGGTCTAAAATAGATAGGTGTAGCTAATTTCATCGAAATTCATATAGAAAGTAAAGAAGTTAATACATTATTGTTGCAAAGACTACACTTACATGTACGTTGATATTGAAGTGAGCATTACATTTTAATTATTCTATTAATTTCTCATCAAATTGAAACATAACAATGTAAGATCCATTAAATACTATCCTAATATTAAAATTTTATTCCCTTTTTATGATTTACTATTTTTGCACGCATATCTCTGGATTCTGTTTGATATGAAAATTCCGAGGCAAATAAAACCCGACTGGTTCGTAAAATGGGTACCTTATGTATCATAACATCGCATATACAGTCATAAAACATAAGAACATGGGATAAATGCATACGAATGCAACAAACTGCAACGTGTTTGAAACATGTAACCCGGAAAAGAGGAAAAGACGCCTTAAGTGTTCTTCATTGCGACTGTTTGGCATCGTATTCTGGGAGGACAACTTTGTTAGGGAAAATGATAATAGATATATTTTTCTTGAAATTATATATTTGAATTTAAATAATCTACGTGTAAGAGACATATGCTTATTCATTTAATGGTGTCCTCATACTGCATCCAAGGATTATGTCCTAAAATCCATCATTTAAGAACCCATAATTTAAAATATTTTTTTTAATCTTTTCACAATAGCTTATAAAACTATATTATTTTGATTGCTATTTATAATTACAATAAAATAATGGCAATGAGCAAATTGTCTATGGAAATTTCAAAGTAATCGAAGTAAAGCAACCCTTAAATGATGTTTGGCTGTGACGATTTATCTGGCGATTGAATATATTACAAGTACATGCCTTGACATGTATGTTCCGAAATCAATACTTTCTCGGAAAATTCCATCAATAATACTTTAACAAAGCCATTGACGCTCTAAAGCTGCTTATGATGTAAGCATTTCATATTTGTGTATTGCCACCATTTTCCCATGTGCGTTATCGTTTGCCTTTCTGATAACTGCTCGTTATGCTAAGCTTTTCATGGAAATCTTATTAAATATAATTCAATCATAAAATTGTATTAATAACGTATATTGAAGACTATACACGTAGTAATTGAATCGCGCAAGTATTTATTGCAAAATGTTCTGTAACTATTCAATTTCTTTTAGCGGCTCATTCATGCAAATATAAATTTCTTTGTAGTTTTATATTGAGCATTTGGAAATTCACACAGTTCAATATTAACAGCAGCATCTAGTTTCGAACACTTAGAATAAAAGTGACAAAACATTTGCGGTAGCGATAGAAATAAAACGGCTTTTATTTTTGAAATGTACGAGTGTTTTATATTCTGAATTCTAAATGTGGTGGAGCAGGTAGCTGGTGAATTTTCAAGAAACACAATTTTTTGTAATTCTAAATGAAACTTATTTGATTCAACATATTTTTAATTTATTTATTATCAAATTCATATTCAAACTTGTGTTTTGATATTAATAAATAATAAAACATTTATACCTTTAATATTCAAATTCAGAAATACAGTCGATGGTTTAGTACATTATTGTGCATAGATTTGCATTAGAATTATTTTTCACAATACTGTTATTTTTAAAAAAGGTTAATTCTTTAAAACTAGGGGCAATTTCTTATGGTCTTAGAAATGTTTTTTACGGTTACGATTCTAGAGTTCAAATGAACAAAATCAATAACTAGTGGTGTATGGCATCGTGCCTCAAGGCAAATTGCTGGAACTTTTCGTACCGTAATAAAATTAAGATATAATGGAATTAATTAAGACTATCATTTTTTTAACATTTAGCTCCGTATTTCCGAAATTGAATTTTTTTGTATCATTCAAATCGGATGCTCAGTTCTCTCAAAAAACCGATTTGTATTTGCTGCACTATTTGCTCCGTATCTTCGAAATGGCTGGACCTGTCTTGGCCGAAGGCTAACCAACACATCTCCCTATGAATAGGAGTCGAATGTTTTTTGAATTATTCAAATCGGTGGATTAGTGCTCACGAAAACGTGGGCGAAATATTGTATTCACGCATATACACACATCAATTTTTTCTAAGGTATGCCAAAATGTTCAGAAACCTTTCAAACGTGAAGATATGCAAAAATCTTCAATTTAGATTTTTGGATAATTACAATAACTTACCTTACGAAAACAATAACCGATAAATGGTCATATTTTTACCAAAGCTTTACGTTGCACTAATTTTTTTTAAGACAGTTAAGGTCAATACTATCACCTAGTTTCGGCTTCACCTTAAGTTCTGGGACATCCCGTATATATTATATTATATTTAATAATTACATTAACATAACTGAATTATCCATAAATATCTATAGCTCTTTTTATTACATTATCTATATGTGCTTAACCACATAATAACATTTACAAAATACATTACAAAACTTTTAATATAACTGTAATACAATATTATTACAGCATAATAACAATATAATCTCTTGAAAACACCACGATTATTGTTGGTTCCATACGTTCTCGTCGCTCGAAAACGCTTTTCCTAGGTATGTATGTGAGTTTCCGAGAGTTTACTTTATAATTCAGGGACTTACTTCATCATACGCGCGTGAAAATCTGAGGCGCAAACACGCCTCGCTGAATTAGTCCCACGGATCGGGGATGAATCGGGTCTAGGAGAGGGCGGAAGGCGGCCGGGAACACTCGAAACAAGCGTACATTAAAACACTGATTTTGATTAACACTGAGGAATATTTAGAGGGCTGTATCTGTGTTTAATTTGTACATGGATTTAGAATACAAGTTTGTAAACTGATAGCGTAAGAGACAGATGAATACATAGAAAAACTAGTGGGGCGCATGGCATCGTGTCTTAAGGCAAATTGCTGTAACTTTCCGTACCAATTTTTTTTTTAGAAAAAAGAATAACATTTTTGAAAAAAAATACTCTGAAAAAATTAGATTTTTGAGAAACTATAAATTTTTGACAAAAATTTACTTTTTTTGAAAAAAAATATTCAGAAGGTTTTGCAACGTGAAGATATATAAAAAATTTCATTTTCGATTTTCAAATAATCTATACAATAGTATATAATTATTTTCTACATGTCATTATTATATATATATATATATATATATATATATATATGTGTGTGTGTGTGTATATGTATATATAACTAACAAATCATACATAAAGCCATTCAAATAACAAATTAATAATGTGATCAGTGTTAGAAACTTTACCAGTATCATATATTGTATAAACAATTTTTTCTATATGGTATATATACTTTAAAATTGTAAATAGTGGAATTTATAAAAACTTTTATTGGACTACGTCGATATTTTTTTGTACATGAATATATCATCTGGTAGAGATGCTGCTGAGTAGATCTCAGTGGTCATCTCACTTCAAAACCTGTACATATATTTATATATATATATATATATATATATATATATATATATATATATAGATATATATATATATATATTTCTAGTAAAGTATCTTATTAACACTGTCGGAAGGAAGGGATTGCTTTCATTATAGTACTTGTGGCCCAGAGTGCAGAATAACATTCTAGACTCGTGTGTGTGGTATTGTACACGTACTTCTCGGAAATAATAAGATAAGATTATAATCAGACCACAAAAGGATATAAATATTTTTAGCGTGACGGTAACGTTTATAAGCTCAGACAAGTGAAAATATATTTGAGCTTCAACTACAAAATTACAGCTTTTTGATATTAGACAATATTATTAAGAGGAATTGAAGTACAGGAACAATGATTTATATATATCCCTGTATATATCATTTTTAGGGATAGGTTCTCAAATCGTAAAGTGTCTACTTTTAATTATTTAAAATTACAAATTTTTAATTTTTAAATAGTTATTGTTCGGACGTATTTTCGTTACATTATATTGGCCATGAAGGTGACAACCTTCAAGGCATTAAGCTTTACGCGGAATGGTTACTACCACTGGTAGAGGGGGTAACGAAGTGTTTTAATTGAACTAGTTGTTCACTTCTAAAAATGAAGTCAAAACATGTATAATAAATAATAAATAAATATATCTTCTTTCATTATAACTTAGTAGTAACAAATCAATGATTGTAATAAGAACTGCATCAAATACATAATATACAAACAAATTAGTGTTTAATACAGTCCACAGCTACAAGGGTTAAATTATAACCCAACGACCTAAATTATCGAGGGAGAGTTTTAATAAATTATATAAGTACGTAACACAAATACAGTTATATTTATCTAGACTTTTAGTAGGTATTTTAAAATTTATATATAAATTGTACTGCACCACGCAGAAGTGCAGTTCGAAGTCCTCCAACATCTCCAATAACCGCCACACATTTTTGTGAAAATTAGCTGCAAATTTTTTTTACGACTTTTTCACCAATATCTAGTAATCCGAACATTCTACTAATCCGACACCTTCTGGTTTCTAATAGTGTCAGATTAGCTAAATTCTATTGTACCTAATTTGAAAAGTTCCATTACTTCTCATTCCACTTATATATTATGATTAAACCCATCAAATGTGTGACTCAATTTTGAACGTAATCGTACATGTGTGATCTGTATTTCACAATCTTGCTTTTATTTTTCTAATCTTTTTCAATGTTGTTATTTTATTATTTCAGTGCCGGCGAGCGTACGTGCCATACCGTCTAATGGGCACATCACAGCCAGAAAGGGGGGCACGGTTACCCTGGAATGCAAGGCTTCGGGAAATCCTGTACCTCATATACACTGGACCAAAAAGGTTTGTAATAAGATTGGAAATGTAATTGACAGTATAAAGATTGTTTGTGTTATTGATTGTTATTGAATAACTTAACTGAGCAGAAAACAATGAGTAGCTGTCAAACAAAAAATATTAGTTTGTAGTACATGCTAAGTATCAGAGATGATGCTGTATCTGAAAAAAGAATAAGTGTTTTCCGTTTCTCTGTTGAAATCTTTTTTCAATTTTCTTTGCTATAAACTTCACGGAGTCCGAGACCTTTCCAACGAATGCAAAATCGTCGAAACCGGTTCGTGCGTTCTGGAGTTATATCGTCAGGAAGGAAAACCTGACTTATTTTTATATATATAGAAGATATATTACTATTTGCTTTTTTACAGGAACATGGTCTTCCTAGCCAGTTATCCTTGGAAGGTCCAACACTAACTCTGGAACGTCTGGAAAGAAAGGATGGAGGTGTTTACAGGTGTGTTGCCTCTAATGGTGTTGGTGAAGAAGTCACAGCCGATATCCAGCTCACAGTTCTATGTAAGTTTATTTTTAAATATTATTCTGGATGTTATTACATTTTACTCATATTGCGTATTACCCACGGTTGAATAAGAAGCTGGGATAGAATTTTGTTGATGTATGGTAAATATTAGGTTTTTTTGGATTTTTTTTTTTGTAGTAGTCATATTACATCACTGATAGTGATTTTGCATACCGCAACAACTATATTTTATTTGATTTTGCCAAGGGTAGGGTATCATCATATTTTTTTAAATTAAATAAATAGATTTTGGGGAGCGTTTTAATAGTGAAATAACGTAACACAGATAAAAACTACAGTGACGTTGTAACAAAGTCACGGGTTACGTTAATAAAACGTTTTAGTTACGTAAGTATTCTTTTGTGATAAAAATGATGTACATCCAAATGGGCAGATATAGTAACTACAGTAATTGTTTCTAGATCTTTGGTATTACTTCCGCTGTTTTTGATGTACTTTAAAACCATCATATCTAAATGTAAATTTAAAAAATAATTCAATTACCCAGGTGCCTATAAAACATCCGTCATAAACAAATGGATCTCTTCCCTTACAATCATCGCTCTGTCAATTATCTGACGGAATTTTCGGTTTGCAAAATAGCTTGCCTTTGTGTTTTCGGAAATTTCCTCACAAACCCATGTCAATGGTTAGTACGTCGGACAGCAAATTCATTAATTATACATCGGAAATAGTATCTTGCACAATAAGTGGATACATGTGTTTACAGGACACCTTGGGAGGATAAATTTATTGTGGAACTAGTGGGAAAATCGTATTACATTTTAGGATTAAATATTGGACCAAAAAATGTTATGGTTCGAAGAGCCATCTTTATAAAAGAGTTTTTTCTTGTTATAGGTAGTAACTCATTGGTTCAATTACTACCTCGTTGGTATCTTATTTTTTATTAAGTTGCAATTACTTTAATAAAATCTGTTCTGCTGAGTTAAAAACACAATGCAGTGTATAAAACATTTTTTTATTGTTTACATCTTTATTTTATAGCTTCAGACGGCGTAAAATTTCCACGCTTTTGCATAGCCTGGATTTTCAAAATTAATTTTGCAAGTGTACTAGGTAATATTCGTTACTTTTCTTCATTTCTGTATATTTTTATTTTTACGGTTCATATTGCGTTCACAATGTTTGTTACGCCTGGCTTACTTCAGGTTTAATTATGATTTTAATAAGGTGAGTTTTTCGCTTTTTACAAGAACGTTCTCATCTGAGTAGTTTTTCTTTTAGTTTGTAGGTAGAAAAAATATTTTTAAATATAAATGAGGAAGATAATTGGAATAATTATGCGATGCATATTGCAGCTACTCATTTGAATAATATACTTATTGATTAAAATCATATTAAAAATTGCAATTATTATTTTTATGCTTGTTATAACAGTTTTTGCAAATGTCAAAAAGGTTTAGAAGGGAATAGTAGAAACCCCATTTAACACCATAAGGTTCTATAGTGCAAACCAGTAAGGATGTGTGAAATGTCAAGAAAATAACAGGATATAAACAAGATATAACGAAAGCGACCTCTTCGACATTATTATAAGGTTATATCTCTATAGGAATATCTTTCTGGAAAAATATAAAATAATTCAGAGAAAGATATCGAGGGCTCTAGGGTAAGGGTCAGATTCTTGCAGGTCGAAATATATATAAATAATTGCACAATTTTATATTTTTAATATAATTAAATATTTTTATATAGATCTTGAGTTTAAAAACAAGCGTTTTTATAATTTTTGGTTATTATATTAATGTAAAGAAAACTACACTTCTCTCACTCTGTAATAGTTAGGGGTACTTTGGATTTGAACATCGTTTTTTTTTTACTATAATTCAGAATATTTTTTTAATAATTATTATAATATTAGTTTAACGCAAATGTGGAATAAGTTTTACAATGTCTTCAGAACAATGAACAATAATATTTTGTTTGAAAACAAATGTAGAGAGGACAACACTCTTCTCACTCTCGAATAGTTAGGGATATTTTGGATTTGAACATTGTTTTTTCGACCATAATTAAAAATATTTTTTTTATTAATTATTATAATATTAGTTTATTGTGATTGGAAATAAGTTTTACAATGTCTTCAGAACAATAGACAGTAATATTTCATTTTTGTATAAAAAAATCTGGATTGCTGCATTTGTAATCTGTAAATATAAACATTATTAAATATTAATATTTTCCATAAATTTCTTTTCGGATTTTTTTTATTAAATGGCTATAACTGATTTTTATTGAAAATGTATTACATTATACGTGGAGAACAACTTTAAAAATCAAGTCTTTGGTTTTAAAATATTATGATAATGATTCCAATAATAAAAAATTATTAAATTTTTATCGATAGAGTCTAGATGTGTATATGAATTTTTGTATGTTATATATGTATGTATATATATATATATATATATATCTATGTGTGTGTGGTATATTTTATGTAATAACCCAAAAAGATGTGGCCAATATTTACGCATCGGAAGCTAAATATGTAGCCCAGGGCGATTCCGATATTTGATGGAAACCTTATGCTTATATAACCTTATATATTATACTACAACCATAATTTGAAACACTCTACAGAATATTTCCATTTAATAAATTTTTCCATATTTTTATCAACATTTACTATATTGTTTATATTGTATCATTTTCATCATAATTTTTTTTTGTAATTTTTATGAATTATTTTGAAATTGAAGTATTGAAACATAAGTACTACTAGTATATAAATGTTACACCTAAATTCAAATTTCTCGGTTCTATACAAACTTTCAATCTCATAATCGCTTAATACAGATGTCTTTCAGGTCGTTTTATTGTATAAACAAGTGTCAAAATATTATCTCGACTCATCATTGAACTGAATATTTATTGTTTTCTGAAGAGCTCCATATATATCATCTCTCAGCAAATAAAATTGCATTGGTAGATAATAATGCTTATGTATTACCTCTCATATAAAAACGTAACGGTTTTTGAATGGTACATCAGCGCCAAAATGTTCTGAACCATGAATACTTAAAATCCACAAAATACAACTTTACCTAGTAAATACACAAAGTACAGCTTTTAGGGTAATCCATAGGTAATCTATATTTTTTCTACCAGGGGTAGCAACCATTCCGTGTAAAGCTTAATGCCCTGAGGGTTGTCACCTTCATGGCCAATATAATAAAACGAAAACACGTCCGAACATGCCGGCCGTCTTGAAAAGCTACAGCTTTTAAAAATACAAACATATATATTTTGAACTAACAATAAGTACAGAAATTGTATAAAGATTTTACGAGTATAAAAATTGATTAACAATGTAATAGTGATTTGCGTGACAATCTAATCTAAAATTATTTAACTGATATTTCTTAATATTATATGAAACTTAAGATGTTTTATTGTTGATTGGTAGAATGCACACTTTATTTAGTGCCCTTTTTAATTCTCCGTTGGGGCCCTTCAGTGTAATACGTTCCATGAAATTGGTAAAACATTTTTTTATGATTTTTTTTCATTTTTTTCTACAAATTTCTTATAATTTAATTACGTATTTTTCCTTTGACCTCGTGAGCTTTTCTTACCTGTAAGTATTTTTTCCTCCGCAAATCCGAGCCGCTTTATTGTATAAATAAAGATAATACGCATTAAGCGGATCCGCGATACCGCTTTTATGAGTTATAACGTTGCGATAAAGCCAATTTTTTTTAACAAACCGTTTATACAAGAAAATAATGATGATATACAAAAATATCTTATTTAGTCTTCTATACGTAAGCCTTTGTAATCACTTTTTTAATACAGCGTTTTTCTAAATTGTTAAGCGTAAAGATAAATTGCTTTGCGGGTTATCATTGATGGACAATGGGGGTAAGAAATAACTTTGTGATCTGTGTTATTTTTATGTGAATTATATGTTTCATTAAGGTTAAAGCTTTGTAATTCAAGTATTTGGACATTTTATACGTCTAGTTTGATTGCATTGTTAATTGCGATGTATAACTAATAATGGCAGTACATAAATACAAATTGCTTGTACTTTTACTTGTAAAACCATGTTAATAAAAAAGAATCGTTAAAAATTATATTTTACCTACTTCTAGTTTTTTTGGCAAAATAAACGCATCAAATTCATTACTTTTTTATCTTTACACGTTCTACAAATTCATTTGTGTTTCTATGATCCTTAAGAATTACTATTTTTAGCGCCCTTGTCCAATTACCACCTGGATGGTCAACCGTTCATTGAGCAGTAACAATATATCAAAATCCATAGAATTAAACATTAACTAAGTATCATTTATTCCCTTTTCTTATCTAAATAATACCTTATATGAAGTAGCTATCTTGTTGGGACAAGCATAGCATAATAATTGTCTGAAATGGTCGCCCAGGTCCCTAAAACCTCTTATAGGAACAATAGGATATCAAGTGTAAAGGGGGTATATCTACACATTATATGAAAAGACACCCTTACAGGTATTGTTGTGTAATATGTGATAGAGATAATGGCATGTGGAATATGTGAACAGTAATTTCGATAATTATGTCTTTGGACAAATGAGTATACAATTAAACTGAAGAGGATATTATATACGGAAGTATACTTCAATTTTAATTTATATTATTTTTATGTATATTCAAATTATATGTTTTTTATAAAAACTTAATAAATAAAATAAAAATAAATTATTTATTCGATATATTTAAATTGAATAAAATGCCAATAAAAATCGTGGATAGTAGTCTATGGTTCTAGCTTATTTGATATATTTAAATTGTACAAAATATGTTTGTGTATAGCAGAAATATTTTTGTAGCAGCTTTCTAACGTCAGAAGGAATCTACCCTATAAATATCAGCATCTCAATTTTTTTTACGCTTTTCGTTTTTTTTTTATTTATTTGGCAACCTTTAAGAATATTGAAATGCAGTTTTCTAGTCGTTATTCTTATCCACATGACAATTCATCTGGTTTTTA